TTTTTTTTTTTTTTTTGGTAAAATATTTTTTCCCATTCGAACTATTATGGTTTTGGCGCATCACCATATAATCTATTTTTTTTTTACAAATCACTATATGAACTATACGGGTTTGTCAATGTGCCCCTAAACCGGATATAAAAGTGGTTTTGACTGAAAAAGGCTGTTTTTAATGGCATTTTAATAATTTCACATATTTTTCAGATAATAAAAAAAGAAAAATGAAAAAAAAATGAAGAAGTTGGTTTAAAAAAATAAAATAAAAAATAAAAAATAAAATGAGAAATGAGGCTCGTTCCAAAATGCCTTGGACCAGAAATATCTGCTACGCCACCGGAGCCCCCGCCAGCCTGCACTATCGCCGGTCCCACCGCTGCCTCCCATTCCAGTGGAAACCGATGCATGCGACGTAATTGAGAGCACATCACGTCGAGCTCATTGTGGGTACGTGTCGCGAGGCAGTGGTGGGGACGGCGACGGTGCAGGCCGGCGGTGGCTCCGGTGGGATAGCAGGTATTTCTGGTCCAAGGCATTTTGGAACGAGCTTCTTTTCTTATTTTCTTTTTTTTTTTTTTTGAAGCCAACTTCTTAATTTTTTCATTTTTTATTTTTTATTTTCTGAAAAATATGTGAAATTACTAAAATGCCATTAAAAACAGATTTTTTTAGTCAAAATCACTTTTATATCCAGTTTAGGGGCCACATTGACAAACCCGTATAGTTCATATGGTGGTTTATAAAAAAATAGTTTATATGGTGATGCGCCAAAACTGTGATAGTTCGGATGGGAAAAAGTATTTTACCCATTTTTTTAGATGGTTGTTTTGTTATTGTTGTTTAATGGTTAACTAGTACAACACCCGTGTATTACACGGGTGCTTGCTAATTTTTTTCAATCTAAAATTAATGAGAAAAAGTAGTTTGAAAATTTAAATACCTTTTATAAGATTATATATATATTATTATATATTTATTATGACACTTTTTATTTGTGCAACTTACTTGTGTTATATTATATTAATTTTTTTAACTTACAATATATAACTACATTATATATAAATATATCAATTGAGAAATAATTTTATTTTTCTAATGAATTTTAATAAATAATATTATTTTTTATTATTATAAAGATAAATATAATTTATTTATTTCATATATACAATATGGATGTCAAATCGAAGATCATCAAAAGATGATTAATTTGATATATTATATATGTAAAACCGATAAGAAATACAAAAGTTATCAATTTTTAAAATATATTTATAATTTAATAGCTTATTGAAGGAAACAAATCAAAATTCAGGGATATATTAGTAAAAGTGATATTAAAATACCTAAGTTAGCTAAATAATATTTATAGAAAACCCGAACCTAGATTATTAATTATAAATATATCAATATTATTTATCCAAACCTAATTACGAAGCATGATTCTTCGTCAAATAGGATTCCGAAGCACCAGAAGGAGCCACGTAGGCTCAGCGCATTCGGGAATTATGTATAGGGAGGATATTAATATTTTTGAATACTAGTATAATAATACCGTGTACTAGACTGGTATTTTAGGAAAAATATATTTAAAATAGAAGTAATAATAACAACAACAAAATGTTTTAGTTTTTAAAGACTTTTTTTTTTTAAAAAAAAATAGATTATTATTTATATTTAAAATGACACACTCATTACACATTTTATTATTTTATATTATAATTTTTTTATATTTATATCAAACAACTTTCTTGCAGTTAAGTTAGTTTAATTAATTTTATATTTCTGAATTAATATTAATAGATAATAAACTTTTAATTGTAAAGATAATACAATTATTATTAATTTTGAATGTATAATTGAATCTCGTCAAGACATGACTACTTTGATATATTATATATATAATTGTTAATAAATAAGAAAATTATTAAATTTTAAATATATTATTATTTAATTAAGTAAATTTTTTATATTTAAAAAAAATTATGAGGAAAAAAAAGAAAGATTGGAAAAAAATATACTTTATAAATCACGTCTACAATAAGAAATGATATTAAAACATAATTAATGCTATTAAAAATGAGTTGATTAAACAAGTTGCAACTTTATGAGATTAATGTTTCTCATTAAAGAAAATGAGTTATGAGGGATTATTCTTACATTTTGTAACCGCACAACAATGAGTCCTATAAATACTTTTCTTCTTCGTGAAATCATATGAATACAAAAGTACATCAATCCCAAAACTCAGTTTCAATTCGTATATTCCCTAAAGATTTCAAGAAAGAAAAGAAATACTTCCTCCTATTTTTTTAAATGTCATTTTGGCTTTATCAAGTATTAACTAAATAAATGTCGTTTTGGATATTTTGTACATATTTTTTCATTATTACCCTCATTTAGATAATAAATATATCACGTCTTTTCACATTCACTTTTCATCTTTTTTCAAAACATTCATCTCTATCTTCATTAAATAAAGTTATTATTGACAAAAAAATATTCTTAATTAGTGTGCAACTTATCAAAACGACATATATTAAAAATAGGAGGTAGTATAATTTTTGGACAAAGTTCCAAATAACTTATTTCAGTCTTTTGTGTTGTATATTATTTTATGTGTATTTTTTAGAGAAATATTGAATAATTAATTTTAAGTATTGTTGAGCGTCTATTTCTCTATTGTTAACTACCATTTCCAACATAATATTTACAACTACCTTTCTGTTTATTAGAATATAATACAACTTGTAAGTTGTCTCACATCGTTTACACAGACAAAATAGACCTAACCTCACTTAGCCTTCGTCTAGGCTCACCCTGTTATGGTACGCTTCACGTGCGTGAGACCGCACTCATTTTGCCCGTTTATTACACTGTCTTATCATCACATAAACCACGGAATTATTGGAAGGGACACGGACATTACCATTACCTCAACACCAGTTAATAGTGAAATGGATTTCACCCGGGCTCTTTCAAGTCGAACATCCTCCGTACCTGCAGAACCCAATGCCGAGAGGGGTCCCAGCGTCGGGCCTCCGATGCCTAAGTCAGTACTCGGTCCATTGAGAGAGAGAGAGAGTGTGTGTATTAATGAATGAATCGAGAATGAATTAATGACACACCTTAGCCCCTTTTTATAAAGGGGGTGCACCTTTTTAGCCAAGTTGCGCAGTTCCAGAAAAGCACATATTATTTACGCTATATTTTGCGCTATTTACACAATTTACGCTATATTTTGCGCTATTTACGCTATTTGCGTTATTTGGGCAATCCTTATTTATAGGAAAAAAAAACGTAGCACACAAAATTGTTGAGTGAATCATGTTTCGTATTTATCTTAAAAAAATATTTGAAAAATTGATATCAATATAACTATGATTGACCTTTTGGACTATTAGAATAAAGTGATTTTTATGTTTCTTAAGCTCAAAAGCGAAGTGGGAAGAACACTTCATTTTTTCTCCAAATTATGAGGAGATGCAAGAATTTTGTGAAATTGTACCAATTATTTTTTGTAGTGAAATTCTTCATAACTTGGATAAAATTGACAATGATAGCTAAATTTAATTGGATAACACCAATCATTTTAAGATTTTGAGTCTTTACTTTAAACATTAAGACCTTGGTTGTTTGAAGAATTAATATTTGAATGTCATTTTTTAGATTCAATGTCCAAATTAATTTATGGTTTAAGACCATTTTAACTATTTATTCGCTTGTATGATTATATATTATTATTTTTGGCATTAAAAGTGAATTGCTCGAATAGCTTACGCAGTGCGCTACGCTATTTACGCTACGCAATATAAGGACCAAAACACGACGTATTGCGCGATGCGCGTTTTAAAACACTGCTCAACACACAACTTCAAATCAATTTGTGTGTTGCTTGGATCAAAGGATTTGAATTGTTCCAAATTTACACACTACAATATTCGTACGAGGAACATGTATTTGATATGATCTTCTTACAAGATTCTAAAATGCAAATACTTCGAACACAAATACAACAACATCACCCCAATTTAGCCCTCATTATCCCCTCAATAGACCCAATTAGCCCCACAATCGAAAGAAGCAAACAGAACATACTGAACACCTGAAGACCAACCCATTTTCTTGTCCAGGCTCGGGTTTTGGATTGCACGAAATACATTTCCACCGGAAAGTATATAGCGACAGGCCAAAAGTTGAGCGCCCCCAAAACTCCCAACACTTGGTTGAAATATGGAAACAGCATGGCCAGCCCTGTTGTCGACATTACATAAACCGTTCGAAAACACAAACTCAGCATATTCAGCTTAAATGATGGGAGCATTGGAAGCCGGCAAGTGTAGAATTTGTTGATAAACTTGTTTTGGGGGTACTTCCCGGATATCCATCTTTCGGCATATGCGAATACTGGCTGAGAATAAACCTGAAAAACGTAGAAACAGTTAATAACAGTAAAATTTTTACAAGTGTAATAACAGAACTAAAAGATTTAGACACACGTAGATACAGATATGACATTAGAAAACAATGTGCAGCAAGCGCACCTGATATCCTCCAACAAGATGAAGAATAATGCAAGCATTAGCGAAATCGACGAGCCAATAAGGCTCGTAAAACCCGAATCCCGTGAGGAGATTCCCGGGCGTTCTGTCGCCAAAAGCCGCATACCCGAAGCATGCGCAGCAGAGGTAGAAGAAAGTGGTGATGAGTATCGAAGCAATTGTTGCCTTCTTCATGGTCCGGTTTTGAGGTGGGGGTGACCGCAGAGTATCCTGCACTCCACGAAAAGCTAAATTTTTCGTAAATTGATATTTATTTTATTTTTAAATTTAGTTTTACTTGTGTCGTGGAGAGTGCGGAGTTGTAACTTATAAGGACCTGAATTTCCAAGACAATTTGTGTGTATGGGTATGAAAAAGCAATGTCTGCAAGTGCTTGAAAAACAAGCCACATTTTCTGAGAAGATGTAGGAGCATAGACTCCTCTAATGCTTCCCATGATCTGCCTGTTTTCTGAAACACACAAGGGAAAGGGTCATTATGCGGTCCCACCAAGTGAAGTGCACGATAACTATAAGAGGGTGAACCTAGAAGCACCTTAGTAAAAAGCAAGTAAAACGTTACGAAAATGAACAAGAGTTTGTACCAACGACTGTAGCAAAGCCGAGCCCGAATCCAATGAACGCATAGGAAAAGGACATAATTGCAGCAATAACAGAAAGCCACGCCATGTTGTGGAAGTTTGGTATTTGGGACACAACAATCTGAGTCAATCCGAATATCAGCATAAATATGTTGTTCCCATAATCACATTCGGCGTCCTTCCCTTCATCATGGTAACAATTTGACCTTAGAATGGCCCTGCAATCCGAATATCAGCATAAAATATGTTTCATTACATTATTGTACGTATTGCGTATATATGACTTTACGTATAACTAAAATGATTCTTCGCACAAAATATCATCTTTGTATTATTTTTTCTTTCTTTTAGTTACTGCTTTTAGTCCTGATTTATAGAAATGTTGTGATTTATTGCAGGATTGAGGATCAAGTTTTATGGATTTTGTTTTGTAGTTTTGCGAGTTGTATTGGTTGTTTGTATAATCGGCATGGACGATATATGAAGAGCTTACTTAACACTCGAAGCCGTAACAATGGTATATGCAATCCCACATCCATAGAAGCTCTGCAATACAAATATTGCACAGATCCTTTGCTTCGTTTTACCTGATGAAACAACGTTCAAGTCCACCCTGCAATTCTTGTTTAGCTTTCTTGTTCATCAAAATTATGAGCTAACTAATAGCAATCATTTTGGGGGGAAAAAATTACATATATTATATATATAAAAAATTACATATATTACGTATATGGAATATTTCATAAATGGTCTGCTAAAATAATTTTATTAGCGATAATTAACATTTTTTTATTATAAATTTGTAAAATTATAAATTACAAAAGAACAATCTTTTTTTTTGGGTTCACATAATTAAGCCAAAATACAAAACTAATTGAGGTCTTAATTCTGAAATTGAAAAATAAAATATAAAGTGATCTTTCAAGTGAGAATAAATTAATATTGAGAATTGCAATTGACAAAGTTCAAAATTCGAGTCTGAATGTGACACAATACTTGAAAATAATTTTTGTAATGAACTTTCCTCATAAACATGTCAATCATTATGTTGCTATTTTAATCACAATTTGAAAAAAAAAAAATGCTAAAATAGCGATTATGCAAAAGTAATTAATGATAATTCATGCAAAATATGACAAATATTAATTTTTCTGTATCCAAAAACCTTATACAGTAATTGTTTTTTATAAACTGATTTTTGTGTGAATTAATTGGTAAACAATTATTCCCCAAACTTTTCAAAACATTAAAAAAACGACCAATATTAAACTACAAAGAAAAAAAGAAAGGCTTAATTGCACATAAATTCTCACTTTTTGTGTAATTACAAATAAAACTTAATTTTTTTATCTTTGAAATAAATACCAAGTTTTTATTATGTGTTGCAAATTTTTCTCAAAACCATTTTTCGACCAATCCTTGTTGACGTGTCCGATCAGAAATCTTACGTGACAAATATGAGGCTTGTGTAGCATCAATCTTTGAAACTCCTCATCATGATTTTGTCGCATCATATGCCAACAGATTAACTAAAATTAGAGTTCAGTACCAAATGAAAAAAATAGAATATTATCACCATGTTTTTTGTTCCATAATCTTAATAAAAATCGAATTCATCTCCCCCAATTGAAAAAAAAAAATATATTTGTAGCGATTCTTCTCTTCTCCATGGCGCGATTCTTCACCCCAAAAATCGAGTTCACCCCCAACATTTCGAATACATTTACAAGCTCACTCCCAAATTTTGAAAAATTGAGCAGAGTGAGCAATTTTTGAGTGATTGTTACGCGATTTTAGTATTTTGATCGGACACGCCAACAAGATTGGTCGAAAAATAGTATTGAGACAAATTTGAAAGGTGTGGTATTTATTTGCAGTGATAAAAAAAAATTGAATTTTATTTGCAATTACACAAAATGTGAGGATTTTATGTGCAATTAATTTAAAAAGAAAAAGAGTAAATAAAACCATGGAGAGAGCTAGCAATAAAAATAATAATCAGAAAATTTGGGGAAAAAATATGTCAAATTTTTTATAATCGGGACATTAAGAGTGAGCCCACACAGTGAAGCACACCATAAGAAGGTGAGCCTAGTTGCACGTTAGTGGGGTTTCATCCCAAAATTAATTGGTGATGAGAAGAGTTGTCTGCTAGGCATATAAATTAGACTCATTTACCCTATCAAATCAATGTAGGACGACTCACAAGTGATATTCCAACAAAATAAACGACAAACTAACCCAAGTAGAATTTGACAGCCTCCATAAAGGACCGGTTCCGGGTCGGGCCATTTTCAGGGTCCGGAGACCTATAGCAGTCGCAGACAAGCAGAGTAGAAACTTGCGTGATAGCCGCAAAGATTACTATTATTATTGGGCCTGCAACCCACCCCAATTGGGCTACGCTCCATGCTAGTGACAATACGCCTGCCCCAATCACACCTGTTATCACATGCGCAATTGCAGTCCATATTGTCCCTGTCACAACCATAAAAAGCCCATTTTTAACCCATTAACCAACCAAAATCTTCGCACAAGGGTGACATTAGATGGAAAAAAATGGAAAAAAGAAATTGTTTTGCATGATATGAGATAAATAAAATTAAAAAGATTGTTTGTGAATACAATTTAAAATTTTAAAAGTGTAAATAGTTATATGAGATAAAAATGTAATAACTAAAGTTAATGTGATATAGAATGTTAATTATATTGTTTAGATTGGTAGTTAAAAACATTGTTTTACAAAGTGGACCGAACCCGTTGATTCAATTGGTTAAAACGGGAATCAGTCACTAAACCGGCCAGCTGGTCCCCATCCAAAAACCGCTTGTCAAAGAATAAGAATATGACTGGTCAAAACTGTTTAAAAACCGATCGGTTGGGTTGGACCGATTAGAATTTTTTATTGTTTTTATTGATTTGATTTTCTATGAAAAATAATTTTAATATTATTAAATAGAGTTTTACTGTAAAAACAAAAATTTAAATATTTAATTTATATATTTATATATTATTATAACAATTAATTTAGGCATGTATGTATTTTATCTATCAACATATTTAATAAAAATGTATTTATATAAAACTTATAATTTATATTTCTATGAAATATTTATAAATAATAGCAAATAAACAAATATAGCTTTTCACCAGTCCAACCACTAATCCGACCATGAATCATTGAACCCATGGACGGAGCCATACTAGGCCTAGGGAGGCCCATGGGCCTCTCTGAATTTTTCAAAGTAAATATATATATATATATATATATATATATATATATATATATATTATATATAAAAGAAATTCTATAAAATATGTATAAAATGCAAAAAATACTTACAATATATTACTAATTAAATTTATTTTCTATACTATTTTAATTTAAATTAACAATATTGAAAAATGCACTAACAATCATTACATTTTGCATTTCCAAATAAGTTTTTAAAATTTTTTTATAATGATTTACTCTTTCAGTTTTTAATTGTTAATCTATTTTGTGATTTATAAATTGAATACTTAATTGGATTGTTATGTTTTTTAATATTGATTTTTTGTGTAATTACGTACTTTTAACTTCTTCTTTTTTTTTTTATTATTCATTTGATAAGCTCTTATCAATAAAAATGTTATAGGTGTGAAAAAAAAAAAAAAAAACTTACTTTTCCATAAATTTTAGATGTTGAACTTAAATTATAAATACATAAAATCTCTTTTTTTGTTTATTTTTTTTTAAAGTTAGAGGGTCATACGAATTCCAAGCTTTTAAAAACTTGATGGCACACATATTGATATTTATATTTACAGTAAATATATTTTTATATGAAATGACCGTTTCGACTCAAACTACAAGCTCGTAATTTAACATTAAAAATCGAACCCTCCTGAGTGAAATTCCTAGATCTGTCACTGATTGAACCAATATCTCTACTGGTTCGATTTAAAAAAAAAATAATAATAATAATTAAAAATATGTGAATGGACCATTTTTTGTTAGGAAATATATAATAATTAAATGACTATAATTTTTTAATGGTATAATTGGAATGACACAACAAAAAAAATGGTAAATTCCAACGGAAATCTTATGGTAATATATTCCAATGAAAATTCCAACGGATACTCCAATCAGGGGCGTAGCTAGGATTCAAAACTAGCCGGGGCTAGTTTAGTTAATATCATACTGGCGAGCATAGAAGGACAACATTTTTGCTCCTAATTATTTTAGTTTTTTCTAAAATAAATTGGTAACTAATATTGAACACTATTGTACTTTGTCCATCTTACAAAAATGAACAAGTATAAATTTCAAGCATCAAAAGAAAGATCAATTTTTCTTAATATTTTTTTTAAATGTTACTTATATTGTTTTCCTTATTTAATTTATATTTATATCAACAAAAGAGGAGATCAAAACTTAAATTTTACATTCGATAGTAGTTTTTTGTTTTCATTAACTAGGTAAAAAAAAATATGTAAAAAAAATCCTAGGTAAAAAATAAACATATACTCGTGATACAAACAAATATATTAATGTTTAACCATTTATATAAATTTTTAATATAATGTGCCACATTGTTTTAGCAACCATTAAAACAATAAAAAGTGAAATTTATGATTATTTTATTTCATACCTATTTATACCATCAAATTTCATTCTTCACTTAATGAAAATGAAATTTTAAAACAAAATGCTAACTATTGTTTTCAAATATGGAATATTCAATCTTGCCTTCCCATCGAATTACAAATATAGCATACACACATGTAGTGTGTGTAAATTAGACACTTAAATTCCTTTAGGATATTTTCACATTACATCTCAAAGTCTATTAATTTTTTCGTAATTGTCTAATATAAATTAATTTAAAATTCATTAACTAATATATAATATAATTATAGTGTTCCTTATTTTTTAGGCCTGGGCTACAGCCCTAGTCAATTTATATGTAGCTACGCCCTTGACTCCAATGATATAATTTCCGTTGGAATGATTCCAACGAAAGTATTCCGTTGTAATGAGTTTTCCATTAGAATTTTAAATGGAATTTGATGATTTCAACGGCTGTTTTCCACTAGATTTTTACCATAATAATTTTCGTTGGAGTATAGAATTTTTGTAGGAATTTTTATTTCCACCTCCGTTGAAAAATCTACCGTTTGAATCTAAATCCAACAAAAATTACAATGAAAAACTCATTCTAACAGAATATTTTTGTCGAAATTTCTGTAGGAATCCATTAAAATATATTTTCATTAAAAATTTTCATTAGAATTTCATTATTATTATTTTTTTGTAGTGTGATAGAGAAAAAAGGAGACTAAATAATAATTTTTCTTGTTATGAAATTTTTTGTCTTCACTTTCAGTTTACAATGAGATAAATCTTGCTCACAAACAAAACCCTGAAATTTTCAAATTCTCTTTTCAAATTTTCGAGCTTTAGCTAAAAAAAAAAAAAAAAAAAAAAAAAAAAAAAAATTCAACACAAAATTTTCCTTTCTGCTCGAGTGGAAGGAATATATTACATCATTCTTAGTAAAATATTAATTTAAATGTTCAATTTCAATGATGAATAACCATATATAACAAACCAAAAAAAAAAAAATGATTTTGTGGATTAATAAGATGTAATATTTATAATTACCTGTTCTTTCGATAATAAGCTCATGGGGATTATTGTTGGATATCTCAAAACCGGCACTCGCTGGTCGTCGGTCTTCAACACTTTTCTTCACGTCCCAACCTTCATTGCTCTCCATTTTACTGTATTATATCAATATTCAAGCAATTAGAGCAAACAAAATGACTCACAGCACTTTGTATAAATAAATAAATAAAATAGATAACATCACGTTAGGGCCCCACTGAAATAGTAGCCACTTGCTCTAATAATCAGTACTAGTACAACACTCGTGTATTACACGTGTAATGAGAACAAATATTTTAAATTTTATTTACTTTTTTACAAAAAATATATATTATTACATATTTTAAAATGACATTTGTAACTTGTGTCACTTACATGTGTTTTTTTTTTTCAAACGATAGAATTTATAGAAAAAATAAATACATAATTACAACCGGCTCACTAGCCGAATAAGGGAGGACTACTACTACTACAGGTAGCCTAGAACACAACACACAACAAAATCACAAAAACTAAAAACCCCACTAATGAGGAATATATATATACATCCCACCGGGAGAATTCATCACACTCCTAAAAGCGGAGAAAAAAACATTGACGCACACTAACAACACAACCAAACACACAAACAAAAACCGAACACACAAACAAAAATAAATCTAAAATAAAGCAAAGACGACAGCCCTCCCCCGCCGGACGGGAAAGCCAAGCTCCACCACACCCTAGGCAAGCACCCATCGCGAAATACCGAAAAAAAACCACGAGATCCACGGCCCAAACACATCGGATCCAGAAACTCTCCTACTGGGCTAACCAGATCCGGACCACAAAGCTTGACAGCGCCTACCAGTATTCCACAGTCCCGACCCAAGCCGGACCACTCCACAGCCCCCCACGAGTACACCAGAGCCACTGCACCACCGCACAGCCGCTGTCGGAGGACCCCATCTTCCAAACACCATGGAAGGTCGGGCAAGGGGAAAACCACGGCTAGACCGTCGCAAAGACGCCCACGAGGTTCGCCGAACAACATGCGCAAATCGCCACCCGCTTCTCCCGCCATGGCAATCAGAGCTAGATTGGAACCACGCGAGGGGGTGGAGACAAGTGAGCGCCACAATCATGTGGGCCCATGAAGAGTCAGATGTTCGCCGAAATTAGGGAGGGCTTGGGCCGCCGGAAGAGAGGCTCATACTGATTGACGAGGCTAGGGCAAGAACAATGGGAATTGGGGGTTTTCTGTTAGGAGAGAACAACGTCCAAAGTTAAGTTGACTTACATGTGTTATATTATAATAATTTTATAACTTATATCATATAGGTATTGGAATACAAAGATGTTAATTGGTAAGTAATTTTATTTTTCTAATTAATATTAAAAACAAATTTATTATTGTTATATAGATAAATATAATTTATTTTTTGTACATACAATATGGATGTTAAATCGAAACTCACCAAGAGATGATTAATTTGATATATTATATAAGTAAAACTGATAAAAATACAAAAGTTATTAACTTTTAAAATATATTTACAATTCAATTGTTATAATAAGGAATGATATTAAAATGCAATTAATACATGTCACATAACCATAAATAACCAACATATTTATGGATAATCTGAACTTAATTATTTTTGGATTGCAAGTACATTAAAATTTATTCAAGCTTAATAACAAATAATGTAATTTTGCCACATAGAATCTCGAAACATGCGAGTCTGTCATTTAAGTTCAGCACGTTCTGAATTAATATATAGGGAGCTATTGGTAATTTTCTAAAAATTTTATTTAAATTTAAGGAGGGCATCCCTACAAACACAAATGGACCGAAAATCTTTTTGGTAATGTAAAAGTGTGTGATCAATTTGTATGATTATGTCTAGGTGTGGAATTTTAGAGAAGCGTGCCAATAGCCAATAGGTGAAGTTGATTGGTTGGTTTGACGAATAGACTAAGTGCCAAAAATCATTGGACATTTTAGGAGAAGAACATGGCCCATGTCCTATACATAGATATTTTCTAAAGTGACGGGTTTAACTTTTAACCTATTGTTTGAAACCGAACGAATCGAATCTCATGGTCATATGTACACTTTTTTTTTCTTTTCTTTTTTTTTTTTTTTAAACAACTTTTGAACTAACATGTACATGACATTCAATGTGAATGCTAACATTATGATATGGTTATCTACATACAATATGAGCTTAATTGGATAGGTGTCTATGTATGAGAGAGGTAGGTTTGAGACATTCAATGTGAATACTAACATTATGGTATGGTTATGTCTAGATTTCTTTTATATATTGAAACCTTAGATTTGGATGATATTACATTTTTATCTTTTATGAATGAGAAACATGTTAGATTCAACAAGTTCTATGATCTGTTGTTTTGCAATTAGATAGTGTGAGTCATCATCGGGCGAACCGAAGATCATTCTATCAGTTACTTCCGAAACAAGAATAATGGTTCACAACCTAGATGAACATGGACACCCCATCCGAACGGTTGTAGTGTCAACGGTACAATTTGTCTTGACTGATTAGTTGCACTAGTACATTTATGTATTGAACATGATCGCAGAGAGGAGAAGTTCGTTTTATATTGATCGTCGTAAACGAACTAGGCCTCGGTTATTACTGCATTCTCTTGACCCGTAAGATATTAAATAGACAAATATATCAATAATTATTACTTTGATTCACACAAGTGAGGTTTAGTGAATTGGACTAATAGACCGACTGTCTTGAGTAATATTGTTGTATGTATGATGTGCTATTAGGATATTTACAGTTACCATGTACGTTTAGTTTGATGATGCCCCCGGAGTGAGTTCATGGAGGATTATTATGCTAAACCCTGCAGGTGCATTAAATTTCGACACAATAATAATGTGATGAACGAGGGCTGGCTTCAGTGAAATAATAAATGAATTAATTCTTGATTATCAGTAATTGAATTAATCAATGAACATTATATCTTAAACATGAGGAGATAATTCGGGTAATTATAATTGGAGTCTCAATTGTAAATTGAGCTAGAAAAATGGAGTACAATATATTATGTTGGTGACCCATAATATTATTTAATTAGTTAGAGTAGTGATTTTGGCCCACAGATATATAGTCTAATTAATTAAGGAAACCTATTTCTAACCTCATAAGGGTCCCTACTGTAGCTCTATATATACATCATTAAGTTCATGAGAAGTGGAGAGTTGGACACAATACACGCCCCACGCGCGTCGTTCTCTCTCTCAATTCTCATTCGAGTTTTATCTTCTTCTTGTTGCTCCACTGGTAAGTTGAAGAGGCGTTTTGAGATATACAGTAGAAGATCCTGTGGTAATTGAGATACATATATTCATCAACCCCGTGATCAACCAGAGCCATTTCACGACGAGCCTGACCCACCGGACCGCCGGCCCGACGAGCTGGACCCACCGCGACCCAGTCGAACGCAAGCTGCGAGCTAGCCGAAGCCCCGACCGCCCCGACGCGCCACCCGAAAGCCGCGACCCGACCTGACCCGACCCGACCCGACCCGGCGATTCCGACACGACCCAATCGCACATGACACGGATCCCAGTTCGTGATTTGTACATAACAAGATTCTCACAGATCCCAACACAAGTGTTCTTCAAACTTCAACCATACAAACAACATTTAGTTTCTTTGAGGAAGAACATTAAGATATCAACCAAGTTCTATGGCCCCTACACTATCGTAGAAAATATTGGGACAGTGTCTTTCCATTTAGCTCTTCCTCCAGACTCCAAAATTCACCCAGTCTTCCATTGCTCTCTCCAAAAAGCGCCGACTACATCTAAACACTAGATCTTCCAACCAACTTCCTGACACATATGAAGAAGGAGTCATTAGGGCGTGCACCAACTGCTATTAATGAAAAACGGATGATTTTTACGAAATGGAACAAAAATACTTCAGGATTTGGTTCTATGGGATGATACCCCTCCTCAACTTCGAACTTGGGAAGATGTGGTCTTCCTCCATCGTTGTTTCCCAGATCTTGATCCTTGTGGTCAAAGATCTAAAAATGGTTGGGGTAATGTTAGATACCCAACAACCGTCGACGATAAAAAAAGGGTGATTTTGGATGAAAAATAGGTTAACTTTGTGGGTGAATGGCCGATTTTGGTCCAAAAAGGGGGAAATTTTGGGAATTAGGAAAGTATGTTTGAGGAAAAGGGGTCGATTGAATTTGAAATGAAGGGATTAGGGTTTGACGTGGAATCTAAGGAAGAAGATCTGAAGACGTGCGAGATTGGTGTTTGTTATGTTTTTGTGCTTATTTTTATGTGTTTATATGTGTTATCGAGTC